AGAGCTGAGGGATAGTGCCCAGGCCCAGAGTTCAAGCTCCATGACTGACCCAAAATATTTGATGCATAAATAAAATTTGCTATTTTTTTTAAATGATGCCAGTACTAAAGGGTAAACTCTGGGTCCTCTGGGCCTCATGTTCTTGCTTAGGTTTTTATGCTCAAGACTGGTGTTCTACCACTTAAACTACACCTCTACTCCCAGCTCTTTCCTGGTTAGCTGAGGGTAAGAGTCCCTAGAATTTGTCTTCCCAAAGTGGCTTCAAATCATGATCCTCAGATCTCAGCATTCTGAATAGCTAGACTACTGGTCTGAACTACCAATTCTAGCCTATTTTTCTTTTGAAATAGGTTGGTAGGCTGGTGGTGTAGCTCCCATGGTAAAGAGCTTGCTTATAAAGGGTGAGACCCCAAGTTTAATCCTCAGTAACACACATACACACAGACAAAAAAAATTAAATAAACCAGTCTCAGATAAATTAAGGCCTTCACAAAAATTCAGTGTCAGCTGGGCACCAGTGGCTCATGCCTATAATCCTTGCTACTCAGGAGGCTAAGTTCTGAAGGTCACAGTTGGAAGCTAGTTGGGGCAGAAAAGTCTCACTCTTATCTCTAATTAACCACCAAAAAACTGAAAGTGGAGCTGTAGCTCAAGTGGCAGAGCAAGGCTTGAGTAAAAAAGCTAAGGGGCAGTGGTCCAGGCCTTGAGTTCAAACCCTAATACTAGCACAAAAAAAATTAGCACCAAAGCTAAGAATGACATAAAAATAAAATTAAAAATAAGCCAAGTCTAATAACACACTTATAATCCCAGCACTAAGGAGACTGAGAACTGAGTATTGGAGGTCTCCAGAGCTACATAACAAGACCCTGTCTCAAACCTCACTCTACAAGCATCAAAATGAGCAGTCACTGTATGAGCCACATCTATACATTACTTTATTAAAATGATATTTAATTTGGCATTTACCAATCAAGACACCAAAATGTTTCAATTAACTACAGCCTGAAACAGCTTACTTAACCTGATGAAATAAAAGTGGCTGTCACCAGTACATGTGAAAGCTATGTTGTATGTCTAAGGGATGGCACTGTTAGCCCTTAACTGTTTATTGGAGTCAGAAAGGCTTTGAAGACTGTCTATTCACAGATACTCTGATGCAGCAAAGAAAGAAAATTATATTGGAAAAAAATTTTTGTTGGTAAGGCAAAGAGATTTCAAATGTAAACTCTCCCTTGTTGGATTATGACCAAAATAAAAAAATTGCCAATATGCTAAAAAGAAAAAAAAAACAGGCTAGAACAGAACCATGACAATACAACCTGAGCCAGCCTGGCTTAATAATCTGTCTTAAACCTATTTTCACTATTCTACAATGAATTCTAGCTGGGTACTGGTAGATGATGACTACAATCCTAGCTACAATCCTGTGGCTGAGATCTGAGGATTCAGTTCAAAGCCAGCCAACGCAAGAAAGTCTACCAGAAAACCCAAAGTAGAACTGAGGCTCAAAGTGGTAAAGAGCTAGCCTTGAGTAAAAAAGTTCAGTGACAGTGCCCAGGTCCTGAGTTCAAGCCCCACAACTGACAAAAACAAACAACAACAGGTCTGGGAAGGTGGCTCAGTGGTAGAGTGCTTGCCTTGCATGCATGAGGCCCTGGGTTCAATTTATCAGCACCACATAAGCAAACAGAAAAAAGCTGGAAGTGGCGCTGTGGCTCAAGTGGTAGAGCGCTAGCCTTGAGCTGAAGAGCTGAGGGACAGAGCCCAGGCCCAGAGTTCAAGCCCCATAACCAGACCCCCAAAAAAATTTTAAAACAAACAACAACAACAACCTTTTGCTCTATGGCCCTGAAGTTAACCAGATACTGCAATAAACAATGCTTCTGCAAGGAGGGAATGGTGGTAACCATTTTCATCTTCCCCAAGGTATCTTTGGATGTTCTGAGATTTAGAGCACAGCAGTTAACAAAAGCTTCCTCATACAAATACATAGCTTTTGTTTTTGGTCAGTCATGAGGCTTAAACTATGGGCCAGGGCACTGTCCCTGAGCTCTTTTTGCTCAAAGCTAGCGCTCTACCACTTTGAGCCACAGCACCACATACAATTTTCTGGTGGTTAATTGAAGATAAGAGTCTCAATGTACTTTCCTGCCTGGGCTGTTTTGAACTATAATCCTGAGATCTCAGCCTCCTGAGTAGCTACGATTACAGGCATTCTGGCTAGCATTCTCTTTTCTTTTTTGACAGTCGTGGGGCTTGGGCGCTGTTCCTCAGCTCTTTGGCTCAAGGCTAATGCTCTACCACTTGAGCCACAGCGCCACTTCCAGTTTTCTGGTGGTTTATTGGAGACTTTCATGCCTGGGCTGGCTTTGAACCGCAATCCTCAGATCTCAGCCTCCTGAGTAGCTAGGATTACAGGTGTGAGCCACCGGCGCCCAGCTAGCATTCTTTTCTTTAGTGTGTCTATTGTCTTCAACCTATACTCTGTTCTTATGAGGTAGGATAGATATAAAGGAGGCTGAGATCTGAAGATCACAGGCTGAAGTCAGCCTGGGAAGGAAAAGCCTCTAAGACTCCTCTTATCTCCAATTAACCACCAAAAAAAATCCAGAAATGGAGCTGTGGCTCAGTAATACACTAGCCTTGAATAAAAACTTCAAGAGGGGAAAAGAAAAAGAAAAAGAAAAACCTCAAGTACTCCAGAACTGTCACATAAATAAATAAATAAATAGTTTTTTTTAAAAAAGTGTTTAAAGGACCCAGACTCAGACATCTGAACCAAAACAGCAATATCCCTTCATACTACCACCTTGTGGATGACAGGTAACAAGAAAAAGTCATAGGAATTATCTACATCTGCCTTCTCTGAGATCTTAGAAAGCTGCAAAGCTCCTAGAATGGGCAGACATGTTTGCAATGGGAAAGGGAAATCCTGAAAGTCACCTATTGCCCTTGTGTTTTGGGTAGACCTAACATTTGCATGTTAAAAAAACAACAACAATAAACGGTACCCCTTAGCCACTCTAAACCACTGTTTAACTATTAGGGGCTGCTAGATGACATGCACAGATACATTACTCAGCTCAGAAAGTATAAAGACCACAGATATGAAAGGGCCAACATTTTCAGTCTCTTTTTTTTCTTTCAGTACTGGGTTTGAACTCAAGACCTCGCATGTACTCTAGCTTAGGCACTCCTCCAGCCCCATTTTGAGTCTTTACTCCTGTTTCCTGCATGGAGTATAGGAAATATTTTTCCTGTTTTTCTATAAATCCTTGCTAAAATTTCTACCATGTGATGCAATCCTTACTGTAAGACATATTAAAATTCTTTCTGTGGGTGAATTTCAAGTATCTGTGATTTCAGGTGGAAAATGGGAAGCTGAGGGACCCCTCATAGTAGAATGAGTCGCTTTAACCTTTTGACCAAGTTTCTTCATCTTTAAAATGTTGATACAATACTACCTTCACCTCAAGGGCTACTGTGAGGACTAATTTAACACATACAAAGCTAACAGTACAATGCCGGACACGTAGGAAAATAAAATGTTAGTTTAATCCTAGCTACTTAGGAGGCTGAGATCTGAGGATCGCAGTTCAAAGCCAGCCCAGAGAAGTAAAGTCCATAACACTCATATCTCAAAGCCTTGAGTAAAAAGAGCACAGGGCCAGTACCAGGCCCTGGGTTCAGACAGACAGACACAAATTGGAGTGACAGAAAGAAACTGGCAGAGCTGATTACATGGCTCACATGGTAGAAGATCTAACAAACACAAGTTCATCTCTCCAACCCACCCCTCAAAAAAAAAAACACCAAGAAAATAAAAAATATAAAGAATGTAATATTATTGGAAATGGAAATGTGGCTGTGGTAGAATGCTTGCCTAGCATGTATGAAGCCCTAGGTTTGATTCCTCAGTACCATATTGTAAGGGGTGCTGTGTCTCAAGTGACAGAGTGCTAGCCTTTAGCAAAAGCAGCTCAGAGACAGAAGAAAGAAAGAGGGGGAGGGAAGGGAAGGGAGGGACGGGGAAGGAAAGGAAGGAAGGAAAAGAAGGAAGGAAGGAAGGAAGGGAGGGAGGGAGGAAGGAAGGAAGGGAGGGAGGGAGGGAGGAAGAGTGGGAGAGAAAGAAAAGAAAAAGAAAGGAAGAAAGGAAGGAAGGAAGGAAGGAGGGAGGAAGGAAGGAAGGAAGGAAGGAAGGAAGGAAGGAAGGAAAAAAAGAAAAGAATGTAGTAGCCTTGCTTTCAATTAGAACATAAAACTGTTTTAGGCTTTGCTGTACAGTATATATGTTTACACCATTCATTAAATATACCGAGAAACTTACAGACTGTGAAATACTGATTTAACGAAAACTACAGCAACCATAGGCAAAAGTTTATGCTAAGGGCTAAAGATATGACTCAGATGTTAGCTTCCTGCCTAGGAAGTGAGAGGGGTACCCCCCCCCACACACACAGTTTAATGCTAGAATACAACTTTATAGAAAAATATCCAAGAGTCATTATACTGAAATAATGTAATCACACACAGCTAATTCTTTGAAAATTAAGGCTTTTCATAAGATTTTCATAATTAAGACTTTTTTCTGACGTTCCCATCTTCAGCTTTCATTATAAGCCTATAAAGAGATATAGCTTCTTCGATATCAAAACGTTTTGCAAAACCAGGCTCAGAAGAAGACATACACTGTTTACAGTGCAAGAAAGGATCCTTGTGGCCACTCTAGGACAACTGTCACTGTCACTAGCACGACTGGTTGTCTCATTGGGACTTAGGTCATGCAGCAGTCGGGGTTGGGGGGGGTAGTTTGTGCCTGAAACAAAGTGGAAAGATAGAGTGTCCTCAAAGGGGAAAGGTTTGAGAACTGTGCCTGAAGGGCTGAGCTGTGGGGAGACTTCTGGGCAAGGCGAGGTAGGGACGCAGATGGTACCCACCCAGGCGAAGGGGTGAAGCCCACCGCTTTCTTCCCAGCTCACCCTCCGGCGCCTAGTTACCTTTCTCGTCCTCATCGATTCGCAGGGCCACGGAGATGTACTCAAAGGCCTGTTTGTGGAAGGCCCGCACGCGCTCGGCCTCCCCGCCGGGCGCCGGCCCCGGGGCTGAGGGCGAGGCGGGCGGCGGCGCGGCCCCGGAGCTCCCCTTGGCGGCCATGAGGGCGCGGGAGAAGCGCTGGCAGAGCCACACGAAGAGGAGCCCCAGGTGGAAGGCCACCAGGCGCAGCAGGGCGAAGCCGACGACCAGCGGGTAGGAGAAGTAATACAGGTTCCGCTTATGCGGGGAGCCGGGCGCCGGGGACCGCCCGGCGGCCGGAGGGGCGGGGGCCTGGCAGGGGGGCGGAGGCCTGGGAGGCACCTGGCTGCTGGGGCCGCCGCAGCCTTTCTTCTTCCCTCGTCCTCCCGGAGAACTCATTCACAGTTCCCACTGCCGCCGCCGCCATAACCCGCCTCCCGCAGACCGACGACGACGACCGAGCGGCGGCGGCGGCGGCCACGGCGTCGACCTGGCCACAGACCCCCACCTCCCCCCGCTCCGCCCCGCGCGCCTCCCGGTCCCGGGAGCTCCACGCCTCCGCGCGCGGCCCGGCCCGCCCCGCCCCTTTCGCCTTCCTGGCTGGGAGTACAACCCCTTCTGCTCCTCCAGAGGTCGGTGCCACCGGCCCCTCCCTCGCGCCGTCCTCCGGACCGCCGGGAAGCTCGGAGCTGCGGCTGCGCTCGCGCGCGTCCTCCGCCGGCCTTCTCCCGCGCGCATGCGCACGCCTCAGTCTTTGTTGAACCGGGCCGCTTCGCGCATGTGCGGCATCCCTTTCTCTTTCCCCTTTCCCCCGGGAACTACAATTCAGGATATGCAGTTCCGCCGGCTTTGGTGGCGGGCCCCTGTGGCCAAGCTCAGGTGTTTAGCTCATGGAGGAGGGCATTGAAGCTTCCGGGCGGCTAGGGTAGCTCACAAGGCTCCTATCTCGCAGTGTCATTGTTTTCTCATATTTCGTTCATTATTTTTCTGCTAGTTAACGTCAGATGATTGATCAGATTTCTTAGAAGTAATGCGAATCAACCCGGGACTTATTATCTGAGAGGAAACCTTAGGGCACCCCCAAAATATTAGTTAAGGCGACAAGGTCGAGGTCAGTGGATCAATAAAGTTAACAATTAGTAAAGATATCCAACTTGGGCTGGGAAGGTGGCTCAGTGGTAGAGCGCTTGCCTTGCATGCTTGAGGCCCTGGGTTCGATTCCTCAGCCTCACATAAAGCAAAAAGAAAGAAGCCGGAAGTGGCGCTGTGGCTAAAGTGATAGAGTGCTAGCCTTGAGCTGAAGAGCTGAGGGATAGCGCCCAGGCCCAGAGTTCAGGCCCCACGACCGGACCCCCCCCCCCAAAAAAAAGATATCCAACTTGAAGACATAATTGCATGAATTAGGTAATTTTTAGGTTTCATTCAATTGCCATCCGATAGTTTACAAAGGATTCTACTGTGCTTCCCTAGCTCCCTTCATTTGGGGCATTACCTATCCATCCCCATTATTCTAATAAGACGCAAGTACAGACAACTCAATCACAAAGTAGAAATAAATATTAGATGAGATTCTCCTGGAAACTGGCATTTTTTTTTTCCTGTCGTGGGGCTTGAACCCTGGCCCTGGGCACTGTCCCTCAGCTCTTCAGCTCAAGGCTAGCGCTCTACTACTTGAGCCACAGTACCACTTCCAACCTTTCTGCTTATGTGGTGCTGAGGAATCGACCCAGGGCCTCATGCATGCTTAGGCAAGCACTCTACCACTGAGCCACCTTCCCAGCCTCTTTAATGTTTTTATTTTGTGATAGTACTGGGGTTTGACTCTGAGCCTGACTGCTGTCCTTGAGGTCTTTTTGCTCAAAGCTAGCACTCTACCACTTGAACCACAGCTGGACTTCCAACTTTTTGTGGTTAATTGGAGATGAGACTCACTTCATCCAGACATATCATTTAAAAAAAAAAAAGATTCATTTTCATAGTCACATATGCCACTATTTCCTTCCTTTGTAAATAGTAAATGATGAGTTTGATGAGTTATATACATTCATCCACTAGTTATCTCTACTTTTTTTTTTTTTTTTGTCAGTCATGGTGTCTAAACTCTAGGCTTGGGCAGCTGTCCCTGTGCTCTTCAGCTCAAGGTGAGCGCTCTACCGCTTGAGCCACAGCGCCACATCCAGTTTTCTAGTGGTTAATTGGAGATAAGAGTCTCATGGACTTTTCTGCCCAGGCTGACTTTGAACCTTGATCCTCAGATCTCAACCTCCTCAGTAGCTAGGATTACAGGTGTGAGCCACGGGCGCCCGGCTTATCTTTACATTTTTAAAGGCCATCAAGCTAACGTATAATAGAAAATAGCCCTACTGAAAAAAAAGGGAGGAGGAGGAGAAGAGAAAAAGAAGACAGAGAAGAAGTCCCAAAAGCATAGGGTCTTTCTTTCCTCCACCACCCCGCAAAAGAAAAAAAATCATTGTATACCACAGAATTAGACTCTATGGACATTGCAAGTAGTGTAATTCTTTAAAAAAAAAAAAAGGGGGGGGGCTGGGAATGTGGCTGAGTAAAGTGCTTGCCTAGCATGCATGAAGCCCTGGGTTCCATTCCTCAGTACCACATAAACAGAAAAAGCTTGAAGTGGGCTGGGAAGATGACTCAGTGGTAGAGCGCTTGCCTTGCATGCCTGAGGCCCTGGGTTCGATTCCTCAACACCACATAAGCAAAAAGAAAAAAGCCAGAAGTGGTGCTGTGGCTCAAGTGGTACAGCGCTAGCCTTGAGCTGAAGAGCTGAGGGACAGTGCCCAGGCCCAGAGTTCAGGCCCCACAACTGGACCAAAAAAAAAAAAAAAGCTTGAAGTGATGCTATGGCTCACATGGTAAAGTCCTAACCTTGAGCAAAAGAAGCTCAAGGATAGTGCCTTGAGTTCAAGACCCAGGAAGAGTATGTATATATATAGTTTTGAATAGGTTTTTTTTTTTTTGTCTTAGGGCTTTAACTCTGGACCTGGGCACTGTCCCTGAGCTCTTCAGCTCAAGGCCAGCACTCTATCACTAGAGCCACAACCACAGTACCACTTCCTGTTTTCTGGTGGTCAATTGTAGATAAGAGTCTGGAGGACTTTCCTACCTGGGCTGGCTTTGAACCAGGATCCTCAAATCCAGGATCCTCCTGAGTAGCTAGGATTACAGATGTGAGCCACTGGTGCCCAGCTTGAATAGATTTTTTTTAATAAAGCATTTTCTGTTAAGAGAATGGGGGGAGGGAAGAGAGACTTTCAAGGACTTTTTCTGGTGGATCTTGCTTCAAAATGTGATCCTTAGATCTCAGCTTCCTGAGTAGCTAGGATTACAGGCATGAGTGAATGGCAAAACTGGCACTTTGTTGATGACAAGCTGAAATAGAAGGCAGTTTTAATGGAGCTTCTAAAATTGGTACATCAGTTCATCCCATGGTGAAGCCCCGACCTTCTGGGTTCCTACAACCTATCCAATAAGTGATTCAATCTTTTTCTCCGTTTTATTTATTCCCTTTCTCTTTTCCTTCTTTCTCTCCCATTCCCAAACTTTTAGAAAAGTCTCCCTTTTTACTTTAGTTAGCCACAATTGTTTCTTGTTGCCTAAAACTAGGGAATGCCAACACAAAGTCCCCATTGTTTGTATGTGAGGATTACAAATGCCTCCTGAGTGATTCCTAGAGTCTCCACATAGTGCCACAACTTTATCTAATTATTCCTCAGAAATATTCATTTACAAATAGAAGCTACTGCAAAAATGACATACTATATTTCCTGCTCCCCACTTTCCAGCTGTAAATTCTATTTTTTCTTTTGAGATATCAGCTGTATTTCAGATTTGATTTAATTCTCCATCTCCTTCCAGTAATGACTTCTCTTTAAACTACAAAGCAGTTGTTGTGTGAAATCTTTTTTTTTTTAATTGGTCATGGGGCTTGAACTCTGGGTCTGAATCCCTCAGCTCTTCAGCTCAAAGCTAGTGCTCTACCACTTAAGCCACTGCACCACTTCCAGTTTTCTGAGTGGTTTATTGGAGATAAGAGTCTCTCGAGCTTCCTGCCTGGGCTGGCTTTGAACTGCAATCTTTAGATCTCAGCCTAGTAGCTAAGCTTACAGGCGTGAGCCACCGGCACCCTGCTGTTGTGTGAAATCTTATATCATCTAATATGATATGTAGAACTTAATGTGCAATTTAATGAAAAATAACATACTACATCCAAGTGAAGATAAATGGCTATAATCATTCCTTGAAGGTGTGAACCATTTCCTTATCTAAATTTCTTTTCTCCTCCTTCAGAGGAAGCCACTATCCTGAACTTTGTAGTAATCATTATTGCGCTTCCCAACTTAGTTTTCCATGTGCTTAGGCATTTTGAAACAATATTCTGCATAGTTTTGTCTGGTCTTGACTTTTTTTTGGGGGGGGGTCCAGTCGTGGGGCCTGAACTCTGGGCCTGGGCGCTGTCCCTCAGCTCTTCAGCTCAAGGCTAGCACTCTACCACTTGAGCCACAGCGCCACTTACGGCTTTTTGCTTGTGTGGTGCTGAGGAATGGAACCCAGGGCCTCATACATGCAAAGCAAGCACTCTATCACTGAGTCACCTTCCCACCCCCTGACTTTTTCTTTTTCTTTTTGTTGGTCATGGGAGCTGAACTCTGGGCCTAGGCGCTGTCCCTCAACTCTTCAGCTCAAGACTAGCACTCTACCACTTGAGCCACAGCATCACTTCTGCCTTTTTTCTGCTTATGTGGTGCTGAGGAATCAAGCCCAGGGCCTCATGCTTGTGAGGCAAGCACTCTACCACTGAGCCAACTTCTCAGCCCTGGTCTTGACTTTTTATAAATTATATATTGCCAGTCCTGGGGCAGAACTCAGGGCCTGGGGACTTCCCTGAGCTTCTTTTACTCAAGGCTAGCACTCTACCACTTGAGCCACAGCACTACTTCTGGATTTTTCTGTTTATGTGGTACTGAGGAATGACTCCCAGGGCTTCATGCATGCTAAGCAAACACTCTACCACTAAGCCACATTCTCAGCCAAATATAATATTCTTAATTTGCTTTTTCTTCTCACCATGTTGAAAATCATTGTAGGCCAGGCCCAGCAGCTCACACCTAAAATCCAAGCTTTTTGGGAGGCAGATATGTAGAGGATAGAGTTTTATGGCCAGCAAAAAGTTAGCAAGGTCCCATTACAATAAAATAAACCTGGTATGGTTATCTTCACCTGTAATTACGGCTACCTGAGAGGGAAGCTTAGAACAGGAAGATCTTGGTTTAACACCAGCCAGGACAAAAAGTGAGACCCTATCTAAAAAGAAACCTATCTAAAAAGTAGGCCTAAAAGTAGTAGATCCCATCTAAAAAGTTGCAAAAGTAGAAAAAGTGCTACTTTTCCAGAGCTTCATGCATGCTAGGTAAGCACTCTACCACTAAGCCACATTCCCAGCCTACCTTTTAGGTTTTTATTTGTTTGTTTACCAGTCCTGGTTCTT